CTTATTTACTAAAACAAGTTCAATAAAGTGATCAAAAAAGTGGTTACTAGTATAACTTATACTTGTAATATTTATGAATAGGCAATTGAAGTTTTATTTGATAAAGAAGCTAAAAATATGTCTTTGAAATATGCTGAATTAGAATATAANATTTGTCTTATTTACTAAAACAAGTTCAATAAAGTGATCAAAAAAGTGGTTACTAGTATAACTTATACTTGTAATATTTATGAATAGGCAATTGAAGTTTTATTTGATAAAGAAGCTAAAAATATGTCTTTGAAATATGCTGAATTAGAATATAAGAGAAATTGATAGAGCAAGAACACTATATGCTCATACATCTCAATTTTGTAACAAAATCAGTAACAAATGGAATACTTGCTTAATTGGTTTGATATCTTATTTTAGAGAAGCTGTCATACATACTTGCGAGCTTTTAGACATAATTGTAAAAGCAGAAAATAAGATTCAAATTAGAATTAAGATTAGTCTTAACAGTAAAATGCCTAGCCATTTTCCAGTATATGTTTTTTATTGTCTAAAAGAATTGGATGGTCTTGAAATGTTGTTAATGGGAAACGTGCTTATTCCTCAATCAAATTTACGCTAGAGTAAATAAACAGAAATGCAGATTATGCATTTTTATACAGGAATATTATATGAAGAAGATCAATTAATTTCTAATCTTTTTTGATATCTTCAGCCATATAGGAATCTGATTTTATTGATTCCTAACATGTATGGGCAGAATATGCGCTCAAACGTCAAAAAGCTAATGCTCAAAATAGAAGATTGACACTTGAAGATCTTGGATAGAAGATTACCTAGAATAAATACATTATTCTAAAAGATAGGTATATCCTTGTATATGATAAAGAATAGTGAGTTAGAAATGATTTTAAATAATATCAGATGTTAAAGAATAACCCATTCCATTAGACTAGCTCGCGTCATGATAGTAAAATCTGGTCATTCAACAATTATCATACTGATGTTATTTAAGTATTTGGTGGCGATAGGGCTCTGATCGGTTTCGATAATTACTGAACTGAACTGATCAGTTTCGGTATCGGAACGATTTCGGTATTTTGATTTACTGAACTGAAACTTTTGGTAAATTTACCGATCAGTTTTGGTAATTTCAGTTTCGATATCAGTTTTGCGATTTACCGAACTGAATTACTGAACTGATACTTTCGGTATCAGTTTCAGTAAATTTTACTGATCATTTCAGTAAATTTACTGAACCGATTTGCTGAACTTTTCACTTTTTTTTTGATAAGTTTTGCAAAGTTTTTTTTGATAATTTACTAAAAATGTTGCGAAATGTTCAATTTATATACTTCTTCGCATTATTTTTACTAACATACACTGGTAAAAAAATGATTTATCCTACACATATCTTACACATATTGGGTACTCAAAATGTAGAAAATCATACACAAATAATACACATATCATACACATATCGGGTACTAATATATATATCATACATATATCAGGTACCTGATAGGTATACTATATATATAAGTACCCGATATGTGTATGATATGTGTATTATTTGTGTATGATTTTCTACATTTTGAGTACCTGATATATGTAAGATATGTGTAGGATATGTGTAGGATAGACCATTTTTTTACCAGTGATAATGTATTTTAATAAATAGTTTATTTAACATTTAACAAGTAATTTGTTTAACAATAATTATGACAGTTTTAATATATTAAAGCCATTTTTTATTAGTATTAAATTAAAATTTTATTAAAATTGGATTAGACTTACAAAAAAAAGTAAAAGAACGTTAATAAACGTTCTTACATAAAGAAAAATTAAAAATCTGCTTCCTCCCTTTGAAAATACTCACCACCAGTCTCTATTTCTGAATTTCAGGCTAAAATCTACAAAAAAAATTAGTAAAAAAATGTTAATAAACGTTCTTACATGAAGAAATATAAAAAACCCCACTTTTCCTTTTAGAAATACTCACTGGTCTCCATTTTCAAGTTCCAGGCTAAAATCTACAAAAAAAGAAGTAAAGGAACGTTAATAAACGTTCTTACATAAAAAAAAACAAAAAATTTTTAGAGACACTTACCCGTCTCTATTTCCAAGAATCAAAAAAAAAAATATTTTTTTTTTAAAAAAAATTTGTTCACTACCGTAATTAGGTGTAGATCGGCCAATTAAGTGATAATGGGTGGGAATCTATCTATGAAATCATGATATTAATAACGTTACCTCAAATAAGCCACAAAAAATAAAAAAAAATTTTATTGAAATAAAATAAGGTGCACGGCAAATTTCATAATACTCAAATGTATAATGAAAATTTGGTAAGTTCCATTTTTGCTTCTAATTTTTTAAGTTTGAAGTAGAACTGACTTTGAGAATGCTGCTAACGTTCTTTTTCTAACTTTTTTATAGAAACATTATGAACGCTATTTAGAATTATTTTTTAAGACTGAATTTACAGGTAATGCCATAATGGAAAGGGAATAAGTAGATTTATTTAATAAGAAGCATTTCTAATGTTTCTGTTTGCTTTTACTTTGTAGGAAATGTTGGCCAAGACGAATTAGACTTACACGGTGCTAACTCTGTCTCTTATACACATCTAGATGTGTATAAGAGACAGATATTAAGGTGTAGATCGGCCAATTAAGTGATAATGGGTGGGAATCTATCTATGAAATCATGATATTAATAACGTTACCTCAAATAAGCCACAAAAAATAAAAAAAAATTTTATTGAAATAAAATAAGGTGCACGGCAAATTTCATAATACTCAAATGTATAATGAAAATTTGAGTAAGTTCCATTTTTGCTTCTAATTTTTTAAGTTTGAAGTGGAACTGACTTTAAGAATGCTACTAACGTTTTTTTTCTAACTTTTTTATAGAAACATTATGAACGCTATTTAGAATTATTTTTTAAGACTGAATTTACAGGTAATGCCATAATGGAAAGGGAATAAGTAGATTTATTTAATAAGAAGCATTTCTAATGTTTCTGTTTGCTTTTACTTTGTAGGAAATGTTGGCCAAGACGAATTAGACTTACACGGTGCTAACTTGAATCCTGCATGCATGTTGTATTAAAGAAAAGGGAAAAGAAAGGGTTTTTTTTATATTTATTTAATGAGAAACGTTTCCAACGTAAGTAATGAGAAAGTTGACAAGTAGGAGTTTCGGAGGTTTCTCTTTTATTCTTTTTTTTGTTTTTTTTTGTATTGGTGGGAATGGGAATTCTTATTTTTAATTTAATTTTAACAATTTGCTTTATTACCTTGTATTTCATATACTGTACGAATATATAGTACATATGTTGCTAAACTACTAATAAATGATAATAAAAATTTTTGTAATAAAATAAAGTAAGCTGGTGTTTTTTGAAGCATTCATTTTAAGGTAATCAGAAAGTACTAAACCCACAAAAAAGAACCATGAGTAAGGTTCTATTGTCAGACCACATATAGCCATAAAGATTTTGAGCGCAAAGGGTGTTTATAATATTATTCAATGAAGTATTAGTTGGAGAACGCGAGACTCAGAAAATAAATTTTCATAGCCCCGCACCAATCATTTATTTAAAAAAACATTTCACAACGTTTTTAATAGAAAACGTTGCAAAACGTTTTTAATAGAAAATGTTGCAAAACGTTTTTAATAGAAAATGTTGCAAA